AGAAGGGCACCATTTTTTGCTCACTGATATAAGATAGGGAATGTTGTAAATCAATTACAGTGGGTTCCTCTAAAGTAAGGAAAAACAATAACGAAGAGACTTCTAGTCTGATATAAAAAAACTAGGTAGCATTTTATGTCTTTGTTAGGCTCCAAAGCACATAAGATTATTCAAGTCTATTTTTGCTCTTAAAAGCCAGCAGAGGCAAATAAACTGATCTTAAATTTAAAAATCACTTTGACTTAATATCATCTTTTAAAATAAGCTACATATTTTCAATCTGTGGGCTATTATGCAATTAAGAAACAGTAAAAATTTAATTTTATGTACTTTTCTGAGCTGCTAGAAAATGAGGTAACAGAGGGTCAGTAAATCCTCAGCTCCTCCCTTGTAAGAACCGAGGCAGGGACACCAAACAAAGCGCTCTGCGCAGAAGACCAAATAACCTTCTGTCATAGAAAAAAGACAGAAGAAAGTTAATATTGGGTGTCTACTATTCATTAATTTCTTCATTAACAAAAATTTGGCAACTGAAGATTCAGTAATGAGTAGGACTAAAAGTCTTTACTCTCAAGGAGCTTTCCTTCCAGTAGGAGGAACAAAAACATAAAACAGAAAAATAAATGAATCAGATAATTTTATATAGTCCTGAATAGAGCAGATTTCCAGTTAATATGGTTCTATAAGTTCATACTTTGGGGATATGTTCCTTCTCCAAACACATGGCAATGACAGAGAAAAGACAAATGTGAAAATTAAAGACACAGTCATGCTCAAAATCAAGATGGAGATCGTCAGAGACAAGACCATGAGCAGAAACAATGGTAAGGAGGCTGAAACTGCGGACCTTTGGGGTTTTAGATCCAGAAAAAGTCAGAGAAAACCAGGAGCTCAACTCCTGAGAAGCAAATAAATACAGATTTAAAATGCCCATCCATGAGAGGAGTACCGAATATGGGCTTACTGCTTGAAATTATGCATGGGCCTCGGCAGAGGAAGCTGACAGAACCAGGCATCAACCACAGCCTGGGACTATGGCTTCTCACAGTGAGGAGCCATATGCCCAAGTAGGTGAGGGGCACCAAGTGAACGTCACCAGCAACTGACCCATGGCCTCATCACTTGGTCTGGGAACCGGGTCTGCAACGGCTCTGACAAGAGCAAAGGAAAGGAGCCCCAGCTGCCCACGTAGGTCCTGACTGTGAACAGGTAGTCCAGGCGTCAGGAGGAGGCAAATGAAGACCTGGTAGGCAGGGAAGGGTAAGGACACTCAGAGAGGCAGAAAGAAAGAGGACTTGAGCCACTCAAGAGCAGCTCCCAAAGCTATATTCCAAAAACAGAAAGAAAACAGATTCACTCCCGCCGAAAGGAAACCATGAAGTCTAATGAGTATTTAAAACTAAGTATGTTGAGAGTCCTCCAGAAGACACTAGAAAGGATAGCATTAATTTAAGGGGATACGAAAAGAAGAAACAAAAACAGGCAGAGGTGGAATAACTACAAATGGATATGAACAAGCAGTGAGAAATCAAAATAAAACACTCGATGGACAGGAAATGTTCTACAGTGGGCACAGGTGAAAGGAGAAAAAATGAACTGGAACACGGTTCTGATGAATTACCTAAAGTGCAACATGGGAATACAATGAGACACAGTAAAAATTTTTAAAGTAGTTGAAAGACATGGAAAATGGAATATTAAGTAGCCCAATATATATCTAATGGACATCAAGCAGAAAAAAAATTACAAGGAAATAGAGAAAAAATATTTGGAGCACTATATATGCCAGAATTAAAGATGTATGTTCTTATGTGAAAGTGCACACGAGAGTAAGCAGGTGTACGTGTGAGAAGGTCAGGCAGCACTGAAGAACAGGGCACGTTCTGGTTCTGGCAGCCCAGCCCTCAGGATCAACCCTGAAGATACAATAAAGGGATGACATCAAAATGAGAAGAAGACTGTGAGCGGCTGCTGAGGAGACGGAGGGACTGAGCTGAAGGACAAGTCTGTGTGAGTGGAGGAGGGCGCCGGGGTCGGCTTTAGCCTGGGAGGAAGGTTGGAAGAAGCTGGTGGAACCCTCGCCTTGGAACCTGCTGTGACTCAGATGGCAGGAGTGTCTCTGGTTAGTGCAGAGGCCCTGAGGGGTAAGCAGATGGGAAAGATCAGTGGGGACTGGCCAGCAGACGAGAAGATACGTCTTCACCCTTCCTCTTCTAAACCCCCAGGGCAGGTGGTTTACAATTTAAGAGTGTCTCCCACTAAAGCTGCTGCTTTTTGGGGTGCTAAGGATAAAGGCTCAACTTGAGGCACTGATCCTTGAAGTGAGGAATGATTAACTCTGCTATTCTTGGAGAAAGAGGGGAGGAGAGAGATGTATTCTCCACACTAGAGGCCACTGCCGGCCACCTCCCCTTAAGCTGACAGGGCGGATACAGACTAAGGACCAACCTTAAGCAGTCCCAGACGGAGCAGCCGTAACCCCTAGGGGTAGCTAGTCATTTAAGGATCAAAGCTATTTCAAAAGAAAAATAAAAAACTGAATTACAGGTTTCATCAGAAGCACAGATATTAGAAAAGACAGACCAAGAATTTAACATAACTTTAATAAACATACTAAAATAAATAAGATACAAGCAATATGAAACAGGAACAAACTCAATAAAAAGAATGAAATAGAAATAGTAAGTATCAACTATAAAAATAGAATAGTTGAAATAGAGAACACAGATGGAATAAATAGTGGAATAGATAGATAGCTGAGAACAAATTATTGAATCGGAAGATCAGATTTTGAGACACTCTAGAAAAAAGAAAAACAATGAAGAAATAAAAACTATAAAGTTAAAAGACATGAAGATAGACAATTACTAATATCCAGACAAGAAGAGCCCAAGAAAGAGAGAAAAATGAAAAATAAACAGTAGGAAGTATTTGAACCAGACAAAACTTTCTTGGAATTACATGTAGATGAAAGACCTCCTCCTGGCGAGTCTTGCAGAGTAACGAAGAGAGATAAGGAACACCCACATGAAAGCCTATTATGGTAAAATCGAAGTCTTTTCAACAAATGATATTGAAACAACTGGACATCTGTAGGCAAAAAAAAATTTTTTTTTCTTAAGAACTGCAACCTTATACACACCTTATACAAAAATTAATTCAAAATAGATCACAGACCTTAAAGTAAAACATAAAACCATAAAACTTTTACAAGAAAAATAGGAGAAAACCTACATGATCTTGGGTTAGGCAAAGAGTTCTTACAAATGACCCCAAAAAACTTGATCCATAAAATAAAGTTAGATGAATCAGACTTTACCAAAATGTCAAACTTTTGCTCGGTTTAGAAAGACATGTTAAAAGAAAGAGAAAAAAAAAGACAAGCCACAGACTGGAATAAAATATATGCAGATCACATTCTGATGAAAGACTTGCATCCAGAATATACAAAGAACTCACAAAATTCAATGGTATAAAACAATCAACCCAATTAGAAAATGGACAAAAATATGAACACGTATTTGATCAAAGAGAAGTTATGATGGCACAAGAAAGCACCTGAAAAGATGTTCAGCCGCATGAGTCATTTGGGAAACACAATGAGATACCACTACAAACCTATTAGAGTTGCTGAAATAAAAATAGTGGTAATACCAAAAGTTGGTAAGGATGCCAGAAAACTGAATCTCTCCTTGTACACTTCTGGTGGGAACGTAAAATGGTACAGCCACTCTGGAAAATAGTTTGGCAGTTTCTTACAAAACTTAATATGCATTTATCATATAACTTCTAGACATTTATCCCAGAGATAATGAAAACTTCACATACAAAAACCTGTACACAAATGGTCACAGCAGCTTTAATCATAAATAGCCCCAAAGTGGAAACAGCTAGATATCCTGCAGTGTGTGAATGGTTGAATAAATTCTGGTATATCTATACAATGAGATGCTACTCAACAATAGAGAGGAATGAATTATTGATACACGCAACAACTTGAATGGATCCCAAGAGCATTATGCTGAGTGAAAAAAAAAATCTATCTCAAAAGGTTACAGAATTGTCTGAGTTCATTTACAGAACATTCTAGAAATAACAAAACCATAGTGATGGAGAAAAGATTAGCAGTCACCAGGGGAAAGAGTTGTTGGGGGTGAGAAGGGTGGGTAGCACAAGGGACTTCTTTTGTGGGGATACAATGGTTCTGTATCTTGATTTGGGGGCTGGTTGCATGAATCTATACTTGAGATAAAACTGCATAGAACCTACATACACACAAATGCAGGTTAAAAAATTGAACACTGAGTTGAAAATCTGAAAACTGAATAAGGTCTGTAGTCTAGTTGGCAGTAACATACCAACATCCATTTCCTGATTTCAGTATTGTGCTACAGCTCTATAAGATGTCAACATTGAAGGGTAGGTGGGACTCTAGTATTTCTGCAACTTCCTGACAGTCTATAATTATATCACAATGAAGTGTTTTTAAAAATGAGTAGAGAAAGATGGGCTATTCATTAAATTAAATATTGTTTATTCACAGGGGTACAAATAAAATAAGACCTCTATATTGCACCATATAGTAAATTTCTAGAGGGCATAGGATTTCAACATTTAGAAGAAACAACAAAAGACCTTTATTGTACTGGTATAAAAAAGAATTTCTTAAATAAGATTTTTTAAAAGCACAAACTATAAAAGAAAACTTTGATAATGTAACCTTATCTTATTTAAAACTGTATAACAAAAGGCACCAGAACCAAAGTTAAAAGACAAGAATGGTTTCACTTAGAACTCAGGAAGCTGGAAAAAGCCAAGAGAACAAACTAGGGGCTCCAGAAAGGAGCACAGCCCTGTGGACACCTTGATTTCAGCCAGTGCAGCCTGTCAGACGTCTAACCTATAGAACTTTAAGATAATATAATTCATGCTGATTTAAGGCATGCAGTTTGGGGTAATTTGTTACAGCGGCAGTACGGAACTACTACAGTGCCTCCTACCTCTGTTGATTTCCAAGCATTAGCCTTGAGGGGTGGTGTTTCCTGGGATGACACGTTTCCACTGGGCAACGGAATGTCTCCGCACTGCTCCTGTTTCAATCCTGCCTTGGAAGTGTCTTCTGTCAACAACACAAAGCTAAGATTTACTTTGGCAAAAAAACAGTAATGTTTTTATGTAGCTCACAATTTTTAGTGAAGAGCCATTAGGTCTATAAAATATAAATCATCTGCCAATGGCTACCTATGAATAATAATCATTTTAAGATATTGCTTTATAATAACTGACAAGTTCCAGCAGATTTTAAAGAGGCAACTTGGATTCTAGCCCTTTCTCCCATCAACAGTTCTAGTTTATAAGCTTTATTATTTGAAACATTACAAAATAAGATACAACATAATATAGAAATAGTCTGAAAATGTGAAACATATTCAGATGAAATTTAGTAAAGCAGGAATGACAACTATAATTATTCTAATAAGTATATAAAAGAACTTAGTACTGCAATGTGAGTTTCATGTGTTCTACGTGAAACAAATCAGAAACGTATAGACTATTTGGAAAGAAAGAACTTTTTAACAAAATTTTTAAAAATGTCAACATAAAAGACTATGCCAAGGAAAACAAACTGATATTTCTTCTATTTCTGCTGAATTTAATGTTTTTGCAGTTGTACTTTCATTCCTACATTAACTACTATTTAAATAAAGTATTAGTACGAACTATATCTCAGCATGTTATTGGGTACAATAAGAAGAATAAGAACGCTGTCTTCAAACTGGTGCATGCACTGCATGGGGGGTAAAGCCTTCCCAAGGGCTAGGTGGGCACAGACAGTTTTAAAGGAAGCATGTCCAGATCCATAGCTTCTATATATGCTCTTTCTGAAACCGATCTGCCTGAGAATGCAACAGCATAGAAGCCTCAGGCTGGTTCTTTCGTCCTTCCTTCTCATACCAATCTTCTCCCACTTGACAAAGACATCTCCTTTATCCATGTTATAATGGTGTATCTTCCCTTACAGTGCAAGCATAAGAGCTTCTAAGGCACCAAACAATAGTAAAGAAGACTGGTTTGGAGAAGCCTCCTTTAATTAAGGCAGGAAAAACCCAAAGTAGGGCTTCAAAGTTTGTTGTCTTATATACATTCCTTTTAATGAACAACACATGGCATCGGTAACAGGGTATGCTGGTCCCTACTGGGATGTTTGGTATTCGGATGGACACATTATAGTATGGAGGGGCAGGGCAGCTGGCAACTTTCATTTGATGTCTTTGTGCTTTTCATCCCCCACATACTGTCAAAGAATGCATCACTGCTGGGAAGTGTCCCATTGGAGGAGAGCAAAGAAAGAACAAGAGGCAGGGGCACCTCACTGTATCGGTACAAGGAACGTAGGACAAAGCTCCACTCCTTAGCGCTCTAGCTGAGGAAAAGAATTCAGGAGCGTGGACACAGCCAGACTGATGTCTGTTTACATGTTTATTTGAAGAAATAAAGTAAGATGGTTTCTTAAAGAAAGTTTAAATCTGATTTGGCTGGATGTTTTGACAATGAATGTTGGTTTTGTCAACTAGGTAAATATGGCAAATATTTTCCAAAAATGGAAGGAACCAAATCTGCAGTGAAGAGTTGATGAAGATAGGTTTACAGCATATGACACAAAAATGATTTTCTCCAAAAGATTATTGTACTGACAGGTATATTGTAATCAATGTTTTTACTTTATCCACAGTTTCTGAGTATACTGGGCTACATTAAAGTGTAACCATTATAATCAATAGGCATTGATAAATTTTAGTAAAAGCTTTTTGGTATTATTCCCAGAAATTGAGAAAGTAAATTACTCCTAATGACTGTTTACCAGATCTCTAAGTTGGTCGTTTCGAATCTTTTGCTTTCAACACGTTGAAGAAAGACCTAATCAAGTTAATGGTTGAAAAGACATGGAAAACATTTTTATAATAAATCACTATGTACTTTTTGGCACATTACTTGGAAGAAATTCATAGAATTGATTGACATTACTATAATAAAACAACTTCAATTCCCACCCACAATTTTATGTGAACAAGCCTTCTCAGCATTTATATCTATAATAATGTGAAACAGAAACAGAATTGATGCTGAGCCCTGCTTATTTCTAGCAATAAGTAATATTCATATGTGGGTAAGTGAACAGTTCTATGTATCTCATAAAAACAAGTATTCCAATAAAATTGTGTTCTTTATGTTCAATAGGTACTCATAAAAATTTATAATATATTTATGTGGTTTTGGTTTTGATAGACTGTGTATGAAAATATCTGTAATGATAAGTCAATCTAGAAGGAATATTTTATCACTTAAAGCCCTGGTCACAGCAACTGTAGAGAAATAATTTCAATTTATTTACATATTTGATGTAGAGAAGACTTTCAGGCATAAAAATGCTTTCTATTAGGATAAAATTCAGTGAGGGATGTGGAATGGAAATATGACTTCAAGGAGAAAAGGGAATGATGTAAAATTTCTAAAGCTGAAGACTTCATGTGTCAATGACTACAGGTGTCAATTGCAATAGTTTTTAGATTACTTTAGATAAATTTAAAAGTCTCATATAACAGTTTTGTTTTGATTTCTTTTGTCTTTAATGTCTTTGCCTTTATTGCGGTCCCTTGCAATTACTTATAACATGATAAAATTTCACATGTCAACTTAGAAATGTGTAAGGACGTATATAATTTTTCAAAATCATTTTAGGGGTTATATAAGAAAAAAAGCTTGAAAAGCAATGGTGTAAGATATGGTCCTTGACTTCAAAAACTTTATAGCCTGACAAGGGAAATAAGTTTAGCACAGAGGTTATAGTGAACAAGTAGAGAACAATTACATACCAAACTTTCTTATATTAAATAATTTAGAAGGGAGACATTCTAAGCAGGAAAAAAAATCAATGTGCACCTGAGCAATAAAAAAGAGTCTCAAGTAGGAAGTAAAAGTTGAACAAGGCTTTGGAGGGTGGCTAGGATCCTGACAAATGCAGAGGGAGAAATTATTCCAGGCAAAAGGAACTACACGGCAACGGAGCAAGTACGGCATAGGCCAAAGATACGGAAGAGCTTAAAAACTTCACGGCACTAACTTTTCCTTTTCTTATAACTTCACATGAAAATGAATAATTAAAAGGACTTATTTTGGATTTGGGGATTTTAGAATACTGGCAAACAGTAATGATTTGAGGCTTAGATCATCTATGTACTTTTTGTGTGATTTCATTAGGAACCATTTTTATTATCATTCAGAATTCAGTAGCAAAATCATCCTTGTGGATGTAGGTTTTTGACATCAGAGAAATAGATAAATAACAATTCTGGGAAGTCAATTTTGAAGTAAAGTGTGAGGAAAACAGAAGAATACCTAAAATTGTGAAAGAAAAAATATCTCGCATATTTGGAGATGCATTCTAGCCTAGAATAGCTAAAATGTTAAAAAACCTATACTAAGTAATCTTACAGGGCAAGAAGGAAAGCAATTAGAACCTAGTGAGTCTATGGAGATGCATTTAGAAATTTTTAAAGTATCAGACAGCACAACACTGGATGTGAAGTGTGCTTAATTAAATTAGGTGATTGTATAACACTTATTTCTGGATTTCACAAGCAAGTGGAAGGGGAGAACACACATTCAGTTCCTTGGTGGAAATGAAGTCCCTTTGGTATCATAAGCTATTTATCAATGCAACTGTGAAGTTACAAGCCAAGAAGGGCTAGTGTGTGAATGAGAAGCCTCAAAGGAAAGAGTGCAGATGCTGCAGAAAACGATGCTATTGAGTCACTGGGAGATGAGTGCTTAGATACCCAGGTGGTGGGTACCTTGTAGAAACTATCTACAGAGAAGCTGTAGATCTCGTTGAGCCTGTACCACTCAGATAATACCACAAAGCAGAACTGGTGAACCCTGTGATATTTCTTAGATGAGATGTAGAACTGATCTCCTAACTATCAGACATTAGCAATGCGACAGCACATTTTGCAATTGAAATGCTACATAAGTTAAACAAATGCCAGAACTGTTCCACTGATTGTTCAGCATCTAATAAACATTGTTACAATTATTGACAAAATCTTTTCAGGTGTAATTTAAGTAAATTAAGTCACTTCCTTAACACAATTAATTTTTAAAAATAAATAAATCTATCACAGAAAATATTCAGTGAGATAACGGACTGGTAAGATAGAAAAATCTCATAGTGATTAAGTTGATATTTACCTTTTGCAGAATTATGGGTTTGGAACCTAAACAATTTCACTGCCTTGGCACATGATTACACTTAAGCATCTTCAGGTAATTGATATTTGTCCTAATTTTTTAAACTTTCATTTTATAATAATTTCACACTTACAGAAAAGTTGCAAGAGTAGTAGAAAGAACTCCCATATACTCTACATTCAGATTCACCAGCTGTTAGCATTTTGTCCCACTTGCTTTATAATTCTCTTTCTTCATGTATGTACACATATGACAGTCCTGTATTTTAAATCTGGGGGAAAAGCTGTTGTCATAGGTTGGGTTCCCCAGGAAACAGACCCCAAGGTTCACATCTGTAGGAGGGAGAGTCATTAGGAATGCTCTCAGAAACAGGATCTGTGAGGAGTGTGGGAGGGAGGACTGAGAGAGAGACAGCACTGTAATGTGGTTGCCACAGCGGCCTCAGCCGATCCTACCAGGGGCTGGGGAGCCGGGAGAGCTCTTCACAGTTGTCCTGCCTTGAAGCAAGGGGGCTGGGCCACATCCACAGGTCATTGCATGTAGGTTCCCTCAGGAAGGGGGTGACCTTGGGCAAAGAGGCTCTCTTTAGTTATTGGGAATTCCCAGAGGACTCAGATGAGACCCCTCAGCTGCCAGCCCTTCCGGCAGCCGGGGGGATGCGCGCGGTGACCCGGGGGCACCACAACACCCAGGGCAGACACCACCTCCGTGCTCCTACTGACTTCTGAGAAATGCGTCAGAGCACAGGGAATCGAGTGTGAGGACTGGAAATCTTTTATGGAAGGTAAAATCTGAGATTAGTGGGGAAAAGACATTAAAAAAAATGAAAACAGAAAAAGGAAAAAGAAGAAGAAAACAGAGACATTTAAG